TCATATGATTTCGGGACTCGTTCTGAGTAGGATTGTCTTATGATTTCCATATGGTTTGCCTATATTTTGCATTGTTTTGCTATAGATTCGCATATTTTTTCCTGCAGAGGACAGGGGCTTGGCTTATGTGGTTTCAGACCCTAAACCCTAAACCCAAAACCCTAAACCCTAAACCCTAAACCCTAAACCCTAAGCCCTGTATATATTTTGAGAAGGGCCTAGAGGGTTTCGGTAGGGGGGTTGACCCGGTTGCATAGGGTTTCATAGCCCTACGGGTCCATGTATCCAAGTAGTAGATACTTTGGCCTTAAAGTAGTCCCTATGTGGGTACTTTGGGGCCAAAGCATGTACTATTTGGGTACATGGACCATTAGGGTCGTGGAACTTAAAAACTTACTACCGGGATTTATGACTTTCGGCTTTAGGGCTGTGGCTTGGGATTTTCCCCTCATCACATGTACTTTAGGGATTCACGATTTTGGGTATGTAGTTTAGGATTTTACTGTTTAGCACTAATTTGGCGTCTTGGGGTTCTAGGTTGCTTGCTTCGTTCCTTTCGAGCAGATTCTTTGCTCTTCAGGCCTAGATCAGGCTCTAAGGCTAGCAAGGTTTGCGGTTCAGGGTTTGGGGTTTGGGGTTTTATCCCCCCTAAACCCTAAACCCTAAACCCCAAACCCTAAACCCTAAACCCAGAACCCCAGGTTCTACGACCCGAGCCTGAGAAGTCCTAGAAGAAGAGGTTGAGGATATGGGGTTGAGGGTTCAGGATGTGGGGTTAGGGTTATCTGTTTAGGCTTTAGGGTCTCTAGGGTTTGGGATGTCTAGGGCTTAGGGTTTCGGATGTAGGGTTATGGTATGGTTGCCTGCGAAAGCTGCAGCCTAAACGCGAGATGAGGAGGAAAAGAGTCGACTCCACCAAAACAGCCCCGGCCCTGACGTAGGGGCTGAAATAATTACCTATACTATTCTTCGGGTCCTTATTAATTATAATGATTATGGTATGATATACCCCCCAAGCCCTATAATTATTCTAATTATCACGGCCCCTATATTAAATGTGACCAGTTGATACTCTGTCCCATGCCCTTAGACCCTCTAAACTCCTCAGCTCTACACCCACAACAGAAAAAATCCCAACAGACCCCTCGATAAAAAAGCGCTGCGCACCAAGTCCGGCTGCAGTGATGACAACAGCACCTCGCGCTTCTGCCGCAACATGCAGGACATGCTGTTCATTAGCCCTATAACTCTGCGCCCTAAACCTTAAACCCGAAGACCCTAAACCATCAACCCTTAACCTAAGACCCGAAAGCCCTAAACCCTAAACCCTTGTTCTTGAAGTTCGTGCTGGGTTTTATGTAGGGTCCCCAGAAATGCGAGATCAACATCCCCACTTCGGCGGTTCAAGGAACCCCACTTGTACGGGTCGACGCTGGGTTCTGGGTGTTAGGGTTTAGGGTTTAGGGTTTAGAGTTTAGGGTTTGGGTTTAGGGTTTAGGGTTTAGAGTTTAGGGTTTAGGGTTTAGGGTTTAGGCTTTAGGGTTTAGGGTTTACCCAAAACCGAGGTCGAGGTT